CAATAGTTTCAAAGAATCTATAAATTGTTTCAAGAGAAGAAGACTGATGCCTTTTTATTGAGTCTGTCTTTTACTGGTGCATATTGTTTCATGAGTCCCCATTGTGCCACTTTAAGTCCTCTTGGATGGAAGATTCATTCCCCTGTTAGTGTAAGAAAGTTAACGTACTGCTAAGTGCTGTGCATAGCGATAGAAGTCTATTAATAATACATATGTGGAGTTTGGCTAGCGAAGCCATCTGCTGAAGGGCAAAGAGCTTTGCACTTCAGAGTAGCTTTCCATAATCAATAGTCCCACTCTATTCAATAAAAAATTACCAGAGCATAAAATATCTAAAGTGTGATCTGTTCCCTTTATTTTGGTCATCTGTTCAGCAAAAAATGACAAGTTAATTCTGTCCTAATGCATTTACAACTTTAAAAGGACAACAGACATTATCATAAATTAGTCATGTTGCAATACACTGATTTTTAATATACAGACATTTAATTTGAATACCTTACACTAGGGTTTCAATTACAAGAGTGTTTGCAAATCTATATGTGCTTAGTCAAAACATGACCATTAACGAATGCGATCATTCTTTCAATCTGTCATCGTTAAATCACTCAAGATTCTATTCCATGTTGCTTTGCTTTAAATCCAAGTTTTAGAAGGAGAAAAGAAATCCACACTTTGTAAGCAATTCCAAGCCTTGTGAAAGTGATAAAGCGTACATTCTAAAGGGCAGAGGTTGCTATAAAACTCTGATGGGCCTGCAATCCTGTTGCTATTAGAATCACTTTATGTCACATTAGTAGGACGGAGGTATTTTAAAAATAGTCACTAAATGTGCCCACTTTTCTAATTTTGGCTTTGCTAATTTAGGATGTCTCTACTCATTGCTTCACAACAATGAATCCATTTCTTACTCCTTCTGCCCTCCCCCCTTCCATTTGAAGAATAGTTTGAGTACAGGATTCCTTGAATTAGACGTCACTGTCTGGAAGACAAGCTGGTTATCTCGGCAATTGAATTTGGAGGCCTTGAATTGCTTTTCCTAGTCCAGAATTTGTCTCCTGTATTTCTTAATGGGAATATGTATTTCTACCGTTAGAAATTTTTCTTTGATTTAATCTTGGTTTCTTCTTTAAACTGCATGCACCTTCTTAGAATGATAACATTTTAATATTAACTTTTTTTATAGTTTATTTTATTCCAGTATAGGTAAGAGTATTATATTAGTTTCAGGTGCACAATATAGTGACTCAGCAATTCCATACATCACCCAGTGCTCATCATGACCAGTGCATGCCTAACTTTTAATATGTATCATGTGGATACATTTATTGACCATTTCCTAAGAGGAGACCTACATTATGGGGAACATATGAACAGATTGGGCACTGAGTTCCAGGTGTGAGAGAAGGATTTGGAAGGCAGATTCTAGAAAGTAAATGAAGAAAAACTGAATTTCACAGTTACAATACATGATTGCCCTGATATATGGGTTCTTGTCCCCATTCCTGGGCTGTCTCATTTAAGAATTCACTTCCTCAGACCAAGTCCAAGATTTACTTGTCCTCGTAATGGCTGGGCAGGTAGCTACCTATTGCCAACTGAACTTATTTTCTATATCCTTTGATCAACTTTCTTTGGTTTGCCATTCACTATTTTAATCTATCTGTCATTTCATTAACAAGATGTGCTTCAGAGTCAGATAAATCTGACTTTGAACCTTGCTCTTCCAATTACTTATATGATCTTGGAAGAATTATTTCTTTTTTATTCCAATTATCCCATCTGTAAAGGGGAAAGCATACTTTCCTCATAGGGTTGTTGGGAAGATTTAATGAGGTTACATGCCTGAATTTGTCAGTGCAGTACCTAGCACGGAGTAGGTGTGCAAAAGCTATTGGTTATTGTCATTACTACTTGAAGGATGTGTCATGATACTCTAGGAGCTCAAATAAATTAACCCTTGGCTATTGTGTTCAGCCAGAACACTTGAAAAAAGCAAATGGATCCTACACATTTGTAGGATGAGCACTGAGTAGTGTCTTTCATTCCATGGCTCTCTTAACCTACTTGAGGCATTTCCATAATGGATTTCAAAGTGCCATGTACCCACAGGAGGTAGGACTCTGGCCTTTGAAATTCCCATATTTCCTTCTTAACCAAAGGACAAAATGAGGGTGTGTTAAAAGGCAGCAGAGTTGGGAGAGAGAGGGTGGAAAATGTCTTTGACAGGGACTTCACTGTTGAAGAGAATGTCCCAGGCAGTCAGGCAGCCAACTTGTCTGGGGCTGGAGGACCATTGCTGTCACAGCTTCTAAAGGAGAAAGTGAGTACCATTAGCCAAGAAGACTCCTTTGATTCCTCATTCTGTCAGTCCCTGGAGACACTTTGCCAGGTTGAGGGAGATCGGGATGTTCAGGTTTCATGGTTGCGGGATGATTTGTTGACTAAACGTAGGTAATGCTTTTGAAACAAATAAAGAGGTTGAGGGAAGACTGTGAAAGACGGGCAGTTAAAAAAGGAATATAGACGTCCTTTTCTGGTGAGCATTTTCCCTCTGCTGCTTGCTGGGCTGGTGTTTTCTCTGAGGTGGTAAACAATTGAGGTAGTGATAAATGCCTTATATTTTTTTCAGAGAATTTGCCGTTTGCCAGTGAATAGAATTCAGGTGTTGTTGGTTAATGAGCTACCGACAGGGTTTTTGTTACTTTATATAAAACCATAGTCATTAAACTTTTCATTTTTCTCCCTAATGACTTCTAAAATTCTTCCATTACTAATTCTTCTAGGGTCACAATAAATTAATTGAAAAAACTATTTATACAGCTTGGCCCAGTCCTTTCAAACAAGCAAACAAATTGCTGTGACTTGCTGTAATTCTGAACTCTGTGTTTCTTTTATGCTCTTTGCTGAATTTTGGTTGTTGGAAGTTAGGCCATGGTATTCCTGGATCTCTAACATTAGGACTTGATGAAATCAATGAAATCCTCATACATAAAACGTTACTGTGTGTGTGTGTGTGTGTGTGTGTGTGTGGTGTTTTCTGTGGAAGCAAGGAGCAAATGTACATGTAGAAGGATATAAGCAGAAAGGGAATTAGCATTTATTGAACATTTGTTACGTGCTGTGTTCAGCATGTGGGTTTATTATACCCATTTTACAGATGAGGAAACAGAACTGGGCCAAGGTCACATGTGCCTAGTAAGTGGCAGAGCATAGGTCCATTGAGCTGAAAATCATGCCTGTTGTCTATACCACACTGTTCCCCTTTTTGTCTACCTTATTTGCTAATTATATCATAGGAGTTTCCTACTCAGTTGCTGTATCTGACCCCCTCCTTAATGGCCAGGGAGCTCTTCTGCTAGGCAACCGGTGGAGGAAGAGGGTCTGAAGTAAGCCCTTGGTAACCATCCCCCACAACAAACCCTTACCCCATTGCACCTTGCCCTGGAATACAGAGCCACCTGCCCTGAGACTCTGATACATGAGGGATAAGCCTTTTGCTTGAGTGACCACGGAGAACAGGGTGAGAACTTTGGGTGAGGAGAAAAGGCTTCAGAACTTGACCTCTGGAGAAGGCCTGCCTCTGGGAAGAACCAAACTTTTCTTGGTCTCTCACGCCCAGGAATTGGAAACAGATTATTGTCTGTATTGCCTGCCTAAGCAGGACCTACACTCCGAAGTTTTGTCCTGCCTACTGACTAAGCTTCCAGCCTTGGAGAACCACGTGAAAATGAAGTAGGGAAGCTGAGGGCGATCAGTTGTATCACAACAAACCCCACAGGATTGTCAAAATCCTTTTCCTACCATGGGATTTTCATAAGACTTATGATTGTCAGCTCTCAAGCTTTTTAGAGTGATGCCATGCATTGTGAAGGAGTTTGATCACTATTAGGTTTCTTAGAGATTTGCTTTCTTATTTTGATGTCTGTGACTTGATTTCAATTTTACGCTAGTTTCTGAAAGGCCAGGGTTTTTGTGACACACACTTATTTTTATTGCTTTTTTTTTTTCTTTTAAGCAATCGCAAAGCTGAGGAATTTTTCCTCAAATCTGAAATGGGACAGCAGTTATGAGAATGTTCTTAGGTTTTGTTTATTTTTCTAGAAGTTAATGACACTATGGGTATTTATGTGAATGCTGTAGGGTTCTATTAATGCTGTGGGCTTGAAGAATGTTGTAATAATCCCCAAAAGGAAATTCTGTCTGAAATATTCTCCAGGTATGAGTGCAGTGTTGTTATGGTTGTTTTGTTTTCAGCAAGCTGTGTACAAACTCTGTTGTGTTTTCTCTCCTTGTGTGTGTGTGTGTGTGTGTGTGTGTCTATTACTATGTATCTTAACCAGGAAGATATATTCCTAAATCAGTTTAAATAACAATATTTCTGCATATATAAAAAAGTAACTCATCAGTTAAATGTAGTGCCTCATTGTTAACTCATTTTTAATGTGTATGCCTTCATCCCAATGGGGTCAAATAAATAGAAATACTTTCCTATATCAAGGAGGTTGAAAAGTTGGTCATCTCTATCCATTTAAAACCATGTATCCCCAACTTCGCACATTCACACACTACTACCCTACTAATTTCAAAAGGCTGACTTTCACATAGTCATCCAGAAGTCTGTGAAGTGATACCCCATGACAAGGTCAGCTGCTATGGAATAGGCTCATCTGGTTTCCATCTTCTTCCTCTGATTCTTCACTCTCTTATGGCTTCAGAGCTGAGACACAACCCCTGTTTATCCATATTTCCTTTCTTCACTCCTCTCATCCCATACTGCTACCATGAGAGGCTACTGGGATTTTTTTTCCCTAGGAGATAAAAGAGATTTAGTACCCAAAGCCAATTGACTTTTTTATCCATAGGTGAAGATTTGGCCCTAGAAAAAGAGATTATTAAATACATTTGATGTCATGACTTACATTTTCTTTAGAATCTTATATTTTCCTTACTTGTTCTTCTTCTTTTGAATAAATCAAATTTCTTTTAAATAAATCCAGGTATTCCTGGAGGACCTCTGAATGGAAAGAATGTCAAGTCTCTCTTCTCCTCGAGCAGCAGGACCCCCACTGGCATGTGACGGGACCCGTTTGTGGAGGTGGGATCCAGACCCGGGACGTATACTGTGCCCAGAGCACCCCAGCGTCCACCGCACAGAAGGCCAAGGAAGGTAGGCAGCCAGTTCCAGGGACAGATGGTGCTGCTGATTGGAAGGGAAATCAACTCTAACACCATCTCCTCATATTCTCCTTGATATTATGGACCCTCAGCCCTCACAGATTTAATATTTGTTTTGTCGAGAATTTGCAGATCAGTCCTAAGTTTTGCTACTTGCAATAATTGGGAATAGTTAAAAATAAGAGCAATAATAATAACGTCAGCCTCAAAGGATCATTGTGAAAATTAAATGATAAAATATACCTAAGTGCTGTAGCAAAAATAAATGCTACCAGCTGAGAGGGGCTGGTAGACTGCAGTGAGTCAATTGGTCACGCATTAGTAGCATTCTTTTTTTGTTTTGTTTCGTTTTCTCCCAAGAAGGTTGTTTGTATGAATTTGTGAATGTAGGAATTTAAGACATATCACCTTCAAATGTTGAGGATCTAGTTTTACTGGCAAGTTTCAAGTAATGTGAAAAGGAAAAGAGAAAGGAGGCAGAGGAGGAGGAGAAACAACTTTTCTCCACATTAGGCTCTCTGATAGGCAGGTACAACCTCAGCAGGAGTCCACTTGTTCCAGAGTTTGAGACAGTGATAACAGATAGGGACTGAAAAACTGGGCCAGATTTATTTATGTCTATTGATTGAAAGCCAAAAGTGAGCAATAATGCTTCTACTCTGGAAGAATGCGTGGCCTGTCCCAGCCGCATCAGAGGACATAGCAGTGCCCTCTGCAGAAGTAGTCAAGGTGGGAAAGTTTTCTTGAGTATGTACATAAATCCTCTACTGTAGAATTTGGTTATAAACGCATGATGCAAGCTTTCTTGGCATGGAAGTGCATGCATTTTACCCTATAAAGCTTTTCATACCAGGTACTTTTTTTTTTTGAGTTTATGTGACATGGCCTCTCAACATTCCAGAGGCGTCTACAACCATAACCTTGGATAATTCACCCTCTCACTCATAGAGTCTTTACAGATCTTTACAGAATCCTTAGTGTTTGCTTGAACAATTAAAGTTACAGTGTTTCATTCAATTTTCTTCCTTATCTAATGTCACTTTTGAAAAGTGACAGTTTACACACTTTCTATTCCAGGGTAGAACATGACTATGCTTACTTCTCTGACTTCGGAATAACAGGATTTAGATAAAGAACTCTAGATTATTCTTTCAGACCTTGGTAATTGTTTTAGTCTAACTCTCTTTCTTCCTTTTTACTATTGTCTATAGTACTAGGGTTTCCAGGGGTCAGCAACTTCATTAAAGACATAGTATAGCCTACTACGAACTTGGTAGTCATTAACAAAGGCTTTATTTTGCTCTTGTGTGGAACTGAACAGGAAAGATTGTTCAGCTATTACTTTCCATTCTGATAAACACCTAATTTCCTACTGTTAACATTTATAGATATACCTTGACACATCCGACAACATGAGAATTTCTTCTTGGTTCAAGTTAAACATAAGAGAACAATTGAATTGCTATTGTAAGTGACCAGTGAATGTGTTTGCCCAATTAAAGAGGCCAGATTTAAATGTTTCTAACCTTTTCTGCTAATGCAGTAATAAAGGCCAAAATTAGGGGCACCTGGGTGGTTCAGTCGTTAAGCGTCTGCCTTCGGCTCAGGTCATGATCCCAGGGTCCTGGGATCGAGCCCCGCATCGGGCTCCCTGCTCAGCGGGAAGCCTGCTTCTCCCTCTCCCACTCCCTCTGCTTGTGTTCCCTCTCTCGCTGTGTCTCTCTCTGTCAAATAAATAAATAAAATCTTTAAAAAATAAAAATAAAAATAAAAAGGCCAAAATTGGTGACAGGTTTTGCATTTCAGCTTTTGTGAACATTGCTTTTTTTTTTATGTTAGATTGTAGAGAGAGAAGGAATTTTAATAGCATTGATTTTGGGAACTCTTTTCTCAATGACAATTGACTTTCCCACAGGTTAATTTTTCCTTAGACTCTAGGATACTCTCTTCAATCTCTAGAGTCAAATTGCTTGACTTTTCTTCCCTATAAAATCCCACCATCCACTATGAGTTCGCTGCTCTGCATTTCAAGAACCTGATCTTAGAGGAACACAACTCTGAGGAAAACACTACCACCACCACCCATGAATCAAAACCAAAGCCAAAACCAAAATAAAGCACCAAACCAAGACCCATTTCCATAGGTCTCTCCTGCAATAGAATAAAATAGAATCTAAATTCCAGAATGCGGAGGAAAAAAAAAACAACCCTAAAGGAATGCTAATTCTATCCCAAGTGCCTCCAAGTCTCTTACATAGGCTGGATATTGAGGTAGAGTTCTCTGTTAGCAACTTAGACATCCCAGTCCCCATTTAACCTCAATTCATGGTGCTTATAGAAATGGCATAATACCTATGGCATATTTACCTAGTTCTTTTGTTCAGTGTTCATGTGATGTTTTAAATGCAGCCAAAATAGTGCTGTAACAATCAATATGAGAAGCATTACCTGCAATAGTAGCCAAGCCAATAGAATTGGGAATGAAAATGTAGAAGAGTAGTTATGATTTTGTTTACCAGTTATTGTGGAGAGAATTGTGTTTCTCATGTATAATTCAGAAATATCGGCAAGAGTGATGCTTACCTGTAAGTCTAAAAGTTTGGTTTGGTGAGACCATTTTCTTCTTGCTCTTTTCTCAAATGAAATTAAAACTACTCAGCCTGCATTCAAGCATCATTTCTCAGGAGATAAAGCATTGAAATACAGAACACACCTTCAAAATCTAATAAAGACTGGGACATAGATATTTTCCATTCATGAAAACATGGCCCGGAGACTGAAATATCAACAAATATGGAGTGAAATGACATAGAGATAGAATGTATTTATATGGTGAAGAACCCCCCCCTCTGAAAAAAAAAAAAAAAACCTAAATAAAAAATTGGGGAAAGGTATTGGTGTGCTTGCAATTAAGAAGAACACTTACTGAATTTTTTTCTTATTTCAGATTCATTATTTGGCATTAAATGGACACAGCTCTTTTAAGGATGGGACACAGTTTAGCTTTGAGTTGTTAAATGCATGAGTTGCTTCCCCCACTCCAGTAAGATTAAGTAGTTCTTAAAAGTCCTACATCTTTATCATGTTGGGCCCAGAGTTGACATTAAGGAAGTACATGGTCAGATAAGGGAATGTGTCCTGGGATGTTAAGTAGTATATGGAGACTTAATGTATTTTGGGTGTAAGTAGTATATGGAGACTTCGTATGTTTGAGTTGCAGGCTTTAATTTTGACCTGTATAGAACTTTGATAAGCCACGTGAATGTTGTTCCTGTCTTTTGGGTCATTATATTGTTTTTAAATATATTGATTTGGTGAGTAAAAAGTGGATGAAAAATCAGTCTTTTTTTTTTTTTTTTTAGTAATTCATTAAGGGTCAGCTATGTTTTAGACTGTGTACTAGACACTGATATGATGAAGGTGCCTCTCATTACTTTATAGTTTTTTTTTAAGTTGGAACAGCAATCGAACTAACGGTTATGCTATAGTGTCATAAGTAATGTGATCATTATATATATAATATGGCTAAAATCATTTAATGATGTCTGAGGGTTATCTTCATAAAGGAGGTAATGCTTAAAGAGAGTTTGTAGGATCATTAGGAAAGAATGTTCTCAGTGGGGGCAGAGGGGACATATGTAAAGGAATGGAGACATTTGTGTTCAGTGGTGGCATGTGAATTGCTGTGAGGGGAGCCCAGGGAATAAGGAAGTGACAGTGACACTGGAAATCTAGGCCTTTTGTGCTATCCTGGAGGTGAGACTTTGTTTTTGAGATATGGGTACAGCCTTTCTTTCCCCACTGCAGGTTTTTAAGCAGAGAAGAAATCTCATATTCTTAGCTGTCTATAAGAATGCATAAATGTCAGTATACCAAGAGAATTCTCGGGAACGCTCATGTCCTACTTGCAAACTTATCTGGTTATCCAAGAAGTTTTTGAGATATGAAATAAAGTAATTTACATTATGAACAGATGAACAGATTTTTTAAGGGGCAATTGAAAGAGCTATCTATTCCACCATCATTTGAGGGCCTATCTTTAGAAATTGGTTTTAAAGTCAATAAACTCATTTGGGTGTGAGAATAAAGTTTAAGGAAAAAATGCTCTTAGAACTTCCTTTGGTGTTGACTCTTAGAGGAGAAATGGGTTAACAGCATTTTCCTCTCACTTTGTGCTAACAGAGACAGAAATAACTGGATGAATAATTAACAGCAGGCTATTTGATGGCAGTTCACATGAGACCAAAAGATAGAAGACAATTGTAATCATTCTACTTTGGAAACATCCTCAATTATTGGATGTTGGGGTTAAGCTGTAGGAGAAAGTCAGTATATGTATAGTTCATATAATACATATTTATATTTCAAATATTCTCTCCAGACATTCTCCCCAAAGTGTGAAAGCTGAGAAAAGTTTAGGAAGAGAATATTAGATATTTAAAGGCAATTAGGTCACCAGGAGCCTAAACTGAGATTGGTTTCTACTGGTTCCATTTCATTGCTTATATATCTAAGTTTAGTGGTTTTTTTTTTTTTTAATCAAGTATAACAAACTAGTTTTAGTGTGATATGGCAAATGTTTGTTGAATTACAGTGCTTAGCAGAAATATTGAAGAGTTCTTACTTTACCACTCATTAAATTATCAGGCTGTTCTTGACATTAAAAATGTCTTATTTAGCTCAAGATATAATTCAGATGATTGAAATGGGAATAGGAGGGAGCTGGCCTGGATAAATGATGGAGGTGGGATATTTTAGGAGAAAGTCTAGCATTAAGTAGAGTCTACTCCTGGGAAAAATAAATGACTTGTGGAAAAATGGGTCTTTTAGACAACACGTGAGTGAGTCCTGCTTAATTTGATTTCCTGAAGAGGAAGAACGCATGTGCTTCTTCATGCAATATATTGTTATATATTTTTTCAAAATCAGCACCACAAAACTGATAATTCAGTGCCATGTGCTACTGAAACCAAAGCTTGTGGCATCATGCAG